GATTTCAACTTGGGCATCAACGATGGGCTATTACTGGTAATGGCAAAAAGCAGGAAGGGGTTTTGCCACTCTTGCTAAGAAGCACACTAACCAATCCACAACCCACACTGAAATTAGTCTCCTGGGTTCAGATGACATGATAACCCACTATGGTTTAAATAACCTCTAGAACATGCCATGAGTTATCAAAGTGGCAAGGCAAGGCAAGACACCACACTGTGACTAGTTATCCACAATGGTTTGTCATAAAAAGTGAACCCAGGAATTGCATGCATTCATATTTCATAAATTCCCACCCTGTCCATAAGCCACAGTGGATTGGTTGTTGTGCAAAGAAGCCATGGTGAGTCCTGTTGCAACAGATGATCAGGCTCACTATGGGCCCTTCCTCCACCTCAATCCATACACAGAGATATGTCTCCATCCAGAAGCACCATTTCCCCCTCAAGCCCCCCTTTCAAAGGGACACAAATGCTGACAGCTAGCATTCAAAGCTGTCAGAACCCCCTTTCCCTTGAAAAGGGGGTTGGCACATACTTTTGCACCTTCCCAAGTATATAGAGGCTTAGGACAAACTGCAAAATGTGTACCCTGAATAAAATTAAAGGAGAGGGGAGATGAGTATCTTGCTGTAAAGGGGGTATAAATGCCTCCAAGGACACGTTCTCATCAAAAGATCCCTTGCACCCGTGGTTACAACGGACATCTTGCACTTTGTCATCTATCAGATGTAACTAAATGGGGCGAGGCAGCTTATGCATTGCCTCTGAGAGACAATGCCAGGATTGCCGGACTTTGCCAGTAGGAACCCCACCTGCACATTTTCCACAAAGACTCCATCCCCAAACTCAGCTAACTGCAAGCATTCACAGTTGCTTAAGCCTGGATAATGTGAAATACTTATAACTTTGCATATTTTTGTGGAAATTTAAAAAAATGTAAAAATGTCTGGAAGCATGAGCAGCCCCTCCAATGTGTCTGCAGGAGCACTTTGAAATGGCTGTTTGTAGCAGTCAAAATAGGGATACTGAAAGCCAGTTTGACAGTCAGCTTTTACAATCTAAAATAAAATACACCCCCCAAACCCTTTACAGCACTGGGATTCACAGGGGAACAAGCATTCTGCACTTACAGCACTGACTTCACTCTTTCTCTACTTGTACAATGTCTACCACTAAATGTACCAACACCACAATCAGTACAAAAATGAATGAGATTTATGCCTGTTGATGTCAACAGTTTAAGCATGTTTAACTTTTGAGTTCAACTGCTGCCTAAATGTTATTTGCAGTTCAGTTAAAGCTGCAATCCTAGGCACATTGTCCGGGATGAAAATGTTGCTAAATAAAAACAATCCCATTCTTAAACCCAGCTCAGTGGGACTTCTCATTGGTAAATGTGCTAAGAATTGTGCTGCCGTAATAACATTGTCCCAAAGGACAAGTCTCTCCCATTACACAGAACAAGATAAATATAACAAGGAGCTCCTATTCTTGTGAAAATGGCTCTGGACAGCAAACCAGCTTAGCTGATAATACCTTTTCAAATTTTACAGATTGGTAGTATTGTTTCTCTTAATTGATAAGAATCCCTTTCCAGAGTTTCTTGGTACTTGGAAAAAATGAATAGTTATGGGTCAAAGAAAGGAAAGAAGTATGCAAGACCCTTTTTACCTATAACCTGCTCACTAAGACAGGGCCAAGCAGTTTGTGTAGATGTTAAGGCTCATCCTAGAAACAGTGTCATAAAGGCTGTCACAGAAAGAAAAGGCTGTCACATGCTGAATGAGACCAGTGGCCTATCTAAGTCCAGTACCCCACCCACATAGTGGCAAACCACCTGTCCACAGGATTCCTCAAGCAGGATGGGTACAGGACCTCCACCTGCCCAAGCTCCTCCGCAAGTGCTGTACACAGACGCACTGCCTCTGGTAACAGAGGCAGCATGTAGCCATCCAGACTTGTAGCTATTGATAACTTTTTCCTCCATGAATTTTTCCAATCACTTTTTAAAGCCATCCAAATTGGCGGCCATCACCACTGCTTATAGAAGTGAATTCCACAGCTTTACTATGTACTGTGTGAAGAAGTATTTCTTTTATCCAACCTGAATCTCCCACCTACCAGCTTCATGTTGGGTTCTAGAATTACAGGAGAGGGAGAAATATCCATCCTTCTCCAGTCGCTCCATGCCATACTTAATTCTGTGCACGTCTACCATACCTCCCCTTACTTGCCGTTTTTCTAAGCTAAACAAGCCCAATTGTTGGAGCTGTTCCTCATAAGGGACTTTTTCTAATCCCTCGATCATTTTAGTTACCCTTCTTTGCACCGTTTCCAACTGAATAACATCTCTTTCCCAGTATGGTACACAATATCCTAAGTGCAATTGTACCAAAGATTTATATAAGGAGAGTACAATCTTGGTTGATTTATTTTCAGTTCCTTTCCTAATTATGCCTAACATAGAGTTTGCCTTTTTTTTTCTCAGCAGCTGCTCACCTGGCTGACAATTTTCATCAAGCTGTCCATCCCTATCACCCCAAGATCCTTTTCTTGCTCAGTCAGTGCTAGCTCAGATCCCATTAGCCTATACTTGAAGTTGGGATTTCCCCCCCCCCAACATGCATTACCTGCTTCTAGTACTGAATTAACAGGTAGCTGTTATTGACCTGTGTATCCTAATCTATGGCTCTCTAGGCAGAATGGACTGAAGCTCTCAGGTTCCATTTCCAGTTTGAACCCCAAACTCCATCTGGAAGAATATCACTTATACTTTTAGAGCTATTATTGTGGCCATTACATGGCTCTCAGCTCTATCCATCTGGAATCCTAACTCTTGGGAATGTACTCACTTTCTTTGTTCCCACAGGGTGTCTATTTCTTACCAAACATGCAACAGGTGGCTCACAAGTTCTGCAGCAGGTGTGGACTCCAAAGCCCTCCAAAGCCTACACAGTTAGGGATGACTGACGATACTGTCCAACAATATCGGATGTGGTACCCATCCCTGTTCTACAGCTATCACAACATCAAAACTACCACAAACAGCTAATCATACCACTTCAACGTCTGTGAAAATAGTTGTGCTTGGCATATTATTTCTTTATCATATTTATATCCCACCTTTTTTCCTTTCAAGAACTCAAGGCAGCTTACCTAATTCCTTTCAATCTTATCCTCACCACAACCACCCTGTAAGGTAGGTTGGGCTGAGATTCTGTGACTGGCCCAAAGTCACCCAATGAGCTCCATGGTTGAGTGGGGACTAGAACCCAGATCTCCCGAGTCTCAGTCCTGTGCCCTTAATCACCACACCACCCTGGCTCCTGCCATAAGGAACCCTGGGCTCAAATCTCTGCTTAAAGTGTGGGGTTTGTCACAAGTCCCACATCTTCATTTGTTAAACCGCAGCATGAAGTAGCCTACTGAACAAGTCTGATCTCTGTAATATTACAGCTGTTTTGTCAATTGCAAACTATTTCTGTGGTGCTTAAGAGACCCCAAGCAAATACTATTAATTTCTGGTACATAGAAATGTATGTTTTTGCCTCAACAAACCAAGACAGACACCCCTGTGGGAATTATTGCAAGAATAGTTGTGTCACAGATAATTAACCACACTAGTACTTTATCCTCCTTCAAGTCTGAGCAGCTGCATAACTGGCAAACCACTTTCCTTGCCATAAAGAAACTGTGAAGAACTGCACCTGTGGAATTTCTGCTTGTTGTGCACAGAGTCTCTTTCAGAGTGGGGATGCTGCCATCTTTAAAACATGACAATAATCATCATCATCATCTTGTTTTTGTGACCTTAAGAACAGCTAAATACACTCTGAGACAGAGCAGGTGACATGTTTCTCATTATTTCTGTTTCCATACAGGAAAAGAACCATGGCCAAGTTTGCCTGGCCTGGCCTGCACTTCAAAAGGCCTGAAGCAGGTCCAGAATATAAAAGTAGCCAAGATGCATCCTTAAAGATCTAAGGGACTAAAGATTAAGGTTCTAAGCAGGTAGGGGGCTTAGAGGGCCATGTGTTTTGAAGCAGCCAACTAACATTTCTCCTTTTTTCCAAAACCATTCCATGTATTACACCTGCTTCTACCTTTCTCATGAGTTAAAACAGCAGCACCTGTTTACCAGCCATTTTAAAACCAAAACCAAACCAAACCACACAGACTCTGAGCATATTCAGTTTTGCATTTTGAACTCACTTAAATCATACAACCAACATGAGTACAGGAATAAAGTGGGGTTTGTTTCTGCTGCCCTCGGACCTGCTGCTCTCTGAAAGATGATTTGGGAAGTGGTGTCATTTTACTAAAGGGCTGGAACTCGAAGCTCTGGACCCAAGGCAAAAGCAACCCTGCGGAAGGTAGCAAATAAGCAGGAATTCAATAGCTGCAGCAGAAACTACAGGAACGGGCTTCACCTGTGGGCTTTCTGCCTGTTGCAACCTTAGGGCTATACAGAGACTTTGCTGAAAAGATGCCTCGCGCGTCTCTTCATTTAAAAATAAAAAATAAAATAGTGGGGCGGACCACAATCACTACTATAATTATTCATCTTTAATTCTTTTTAGGGAGGGCAGTGCCAAAATGGAAATGAGGCGAATTAGACTAAAGCCACAACACTTTGCGGGAATACTTCTCAGAAAGTCTATAAACGGTTCTCTCCTCAGCCGGGGCGCCAGAAGGAAGCCCCATCCTGAGGACCTTGCACCGTTTCGCCCGGAAGAATCCCGACGCGCTGGAATGGCCGTTCTGCTCAGCGCGCCTCCCTCCGCCTCTCCCGCCGCAAGGAAAGCCGTTCCAGGGCAGGGTCGCCCAAGCCAAGCGCACCAAAGCGCCTTGTAGCACTTCCACGACCCACTTGCGTGTGTGGCGGCTTATGCACGGCAGAACCAAGTTGCTAGTCCTGAAGGTGGTGCCACAAGCCCCTCTCAGAACTACCTGCCCGGAGTAGGAGTAGTGGCAGTAGCAGATCGCCCTCAGTGTTACCTGAGCTCTCTCATCCAGACGGAGGCACCATTGGAGGGAAAGAGAGCAGGAGCAGCCGGCGAACGGTGCGTGGTGGAGAGGAGGCTCCTCTCAACGCGGAAATGGCCGAAGGGGGACTTGCCAGAGCGGAGAAACCGAAGTCTTAGCGTAAAGTTTTGTCCCGGCCCACAACTTGTGCAATCGCCGCCCGGCAGGTGCAGAGAGGCGAGGCGGAGGCGGCTGTGTCTGCAGGGGCCGCCGCCTTGAGGTTGATGTGGAGCGGAAAGAATGGAAGCGCGGCTCGTTGCCAGTCAGGCAGGACAACCGGCTACAAACATCCTGCTGCAGCCGCCCGGCTGGCCTCCCTTGCCTGGCCTGTTCAGCCGCCTCAAGCGCCGTCCCAGATTTCTTCCACGTGGAGCGCGGGAAAGCTGCAGCGCAATCGATCCGGCGCCGCTCCGGAGCGGACCTGAAAGAAACGGCGGAGAGGCGCCAAGAGCCGCCGCCAGGGGTCCTCTAAAGGCGCCGGCGCCGTGGCGAGCAGCCCGCCTCGCACGCCCACCCGGCCGCGTCGCGCTCTTGCTTTTTCCACCACGGAGGGGAGAGGGAGGCGCTAGGGTGGCCACAGCGAGACGGCACGGGTGGCTGGGTCGTCGGAAAGAGCACATCCCGCGCTACCTAAAGGCGACACAGCCTGGTTCACAAGCGGACTCCTCCACACGAGCAGACTTGGACCTCGTATGCTTGTTGCAGAGCGATCAGACTCGGGACCCACAACATGACAGCGACTTAGACCTTGGATTCAGAACCTCCTCATCCGTGGAGCTCATTGGATGACTTTGAGCTTGTCACTGATACTGAGCCTAAGAGGGTTGTAAGTTTTACGTGGAGAGGAGCATCATATAAGCCCCCTCTGGGTTCTTTGTAAGGAGAAAAATGGCAAGATGTAAATGCAAGAATAATACTCAAGGGAATCACTGCCAGCTTGCCATAGGGTAGTGCCAAGCATCAGGGGGCAAAATTCAGCCCTCCAAGCACACCAGAGAGTCTCACCTCCTTCCCTACGATTGGCAATCATGTTGTAATGTATTAGACTGTATTTTTAACGGATTGTTGTAAACTGCCCAGAAAGTTTCAGCTGTTGGGCAGGATAAAAATTCAGTAAGTAAGTAAATGGGTTTGTGTTTTCCTGTCTGTTGTGCAGTTATTCCCATTCAAAATGAATTTTTTTTGCCTTCGTTACTAGTGGGAAGAGTTTGAAGCTAAAATAGCCTGGTATTTTTTATTCAATTTCTCTTGCTTCATCACCCCCTTGCCCCTACTGGAATGGGGCCTTGAGGACGTCTCCAAAATGGAATTTGGCCCCTGGGCATAAAGAGAATCTGCCTGATTTATGGGTACTGCTGTTGGACAAGTCCCTCGTTATATTTTCCAGTTATATCCTGGGTAACCCAGAATATTCAAGTGTAGGGCTACATTAAACCTCGTGTGAGCAGATCCATAGAGGAGTATTTTGCTTTAAGGAGCAACCTGATAATCCGTTTCATCAACAACCTATACTCAGCCCTTTAGAGGGTTAGCATGTTGTCTGAACCCAGTAATAAAGTCAAGAGTTTGCTGCTGGCCACAGTCTCTTGGCTTCACAACTTGTTAAAGTATCGTAAGCTCTTGCTCTTGCTCTGAACGCAGAAAACATGGTGACTGTCCTGGATCACTAGTCCCATCACTGATCCCACTTTGTTTCCATGACAATGTGGTGACCATGGATTGGTGAGGAGCCAAGCAAGGCTGGGTGGTTCCACATCCAAAAGGGGTTACTGTTGGTTTTATGTATATTCTTAATTACTGTTAATTGTTGTTTTGATTATGGATTGCTTGTTTTGATTTCTGCAAGCTGTCCTGAGATACTTTGTGTATAGGATGGGGTATAACTATTTTAAATAAATAAATACTAAGGAAGAAGAACTGGGGACATGCAGCAAGGAGTAGCTGTGCAAATGGGTCATGGCTGCAGTACCACACAAGGCACCATGTTTTCATAACATTTAAGATTCCTTTTACGCAGTTCTTTGCTTTTAGGCATCTCCACCTTTCTCAGTTCATGCATCTTTCCCAAGCTAGTTGCATCAAAATACAGGTGGCATTTAACAGAAAGACTCGGGGCACCAGTAAGTGAAGATCCACACAAGTCAATGTGTTTAGAAAGTTTTTATTAGGGAGGTATATTTTCAAAATAAATACTTAACATATTTCCAGTAAAACATGGGTGGGGAAAGAACAAGGGGGGGAAAGCGAAGCATAAAAAAATTAACACTGAATTTTCAAGCAATGACTATTAGAATACCACTTAATGATGCCATGTAACTACAATCAGTTGCTATTTCCTCAACAATCTTGCTGTTTCTTCAGACAAAGAACTGTATTACTCGCAAGTGCTAAAACTGATCTACCACTGGCTGTCCACAGAAGTGCACAACAACATCAGAGAACATCTAACCTATCCAATGTTAACACAGTGTTATCTTGTCCCCAATAAGGTAAATACAAGATTAAATCGGTTCTTTTAAAAGATTAAATCTCATACTGCTTGGCATTTTGGATTTCCTACAGTTTATTTTATAGGCCTCTGTACACAGTGGTAGGACCAGTTTTTTGCCACAGCCACTATTCCATCTCCAGCAGTGCCTGTTGATTTCGAGGAAGCTGGACACAGAGAATAGGAGAGGAAAGGGAGCCATCTGGGCAGCGACAAAGCCTGAAATGCTTGGCATTTTTAAAAAGGCACTGTGGACACTTGAAATACAATGCTACACTAGCAGACAGGTGCCATGCATCACTCCAAGTGGCTGTCCCATTGCTTTCTGGTGTAATTAGGTGCTATTCGTTTTGATCAAACTTCTTGTATGCCAAGTTGTAAAAGGCTTCATATTGTTCACACCTACAGCCATCTTTTTCCAAAAGATTTAATGTACCAGGACTTTTTTTAAAGCATTACAGGGATTCTACCATGCTGGTACTTAGCTATGTTCTATTTGTTTTGCTTGATTTTGGTTGAGAAGTCTGGCCAATTTTAAAAAGATTAATTTAGACTATAATATCTGGAGCAGTTTTAATTCTAGTTTAAATCTTAATGCTTTTTTCCTTGCAAGCATCCAGTGCATTGCTGCAATATTAGCTTTTGGCACTACACTCTGGATTTAGCGTAAGGTAAGAAAAAAATGTTTGAGATTTACTTTGGAAAGCAAACCTCTTTAGAACACAAACCTCATCTATGAAACCTTGCTTATTTTTTCCATCTATCTACGGGACTCTCTACATTATAATATATCAGCAGCAAACTCATTCAGCAGTATAATCATTGCACCTTAAGCAGTGGTTTGCTAGAAAAATCTAAATTACTGTGCAACGTATTTTAAAGTAGGATTGTGTTGAATAACTTAGTGGTTGGTTTTACTCCCTCCCTCCCTCCCTCGCGCACACACACACACACACACACACAGAGCTTCACAGTCATCTTAGAGGCAAGAAGTGCCATTTACATTATAAGCAAAAGGAAAAAAAAAAACAACAACCTCCTGCCTGCCCATGCTTGGAAAGCCACAGTTTTCTGAACCTGTCAAAATACAAGAGTGAATTTTCCTTGAAAGACATTATCTGCAGCAGGTCAGTCACTTGAACAGCAGTAAGTCTCCAGCAAGCACTCTTCAGACTGGGGGAAGAGTCTGCATTTCTAAAAAGATCTCATCCTTGCCAAGATACAGTTTAGCCCCTCCACATATTCAGTTGAGGATCTTCTAACCAGAACTCTTTGGCTTAGAGATGCCTGCTAGTATTAGGTATGTTTCCTGTATGCAACAGAACAAGATTGTATTTCAATTAATACCAAGAAACGCCTCTATTCTCATTTTCTTCTACACCAATAATTGCTTACTGTTTTGCTTTATTATCCAACACAAAGATAAAAAGGGCACCTGGCATGTCAAGAGTGCCGTCAGAGTTAAGTTTTCATTGATATAAATTCAAGGTAGATTGCAGAGACCAAGAGTTGGGCTCTGCGGAACTTTTACAATTTGTTACAAGCATTCAATCTAAAGCAAATGTTTCCTGAGAGAAGAAATACATTCTTTGCCACCCAGAGCTTTTACACAAGAGTGACTATTTAAATTGGCCAAACCCTCACTACTTCTACCTTGTACAGTCACAAAACTTTCACACTTTTAAGATTTCCACTATTTTAATTACGTTTAAAAAGTTAAAAGGTCAGTGCAAAGACAAAAACAGGCACTTGTGCTATGTGCACAGCAAATTAAGAAGTGATTAAGCTAATTATTTTTCTTCCTGCATCAAGCCTATACTTATTTTACTTCCTAGCCCTCCCTCACCGTCCAAAAGCATTTCTATCACTTTTAACATTTCCATCACTCCAAATATTTTGCTGATGAGAATGTTTTTAAAAATGTTATTATTAGCCATCAGATGTCTAGGTGTTTGGCTACCAAAAGGTTTTGCAGTACATAATAATATTGTCCTGCTAGTTTGAATTTCTTTTTTGGAAAAAAAAATCTGAGCAGGCATACATCATGCTAAAAGAGCCACCTACAGCTCTAAAAAAGACACCTTCCATAGCTTTGGCACATACAAATAAAAATATCCAGCTGTCCACTGGGAAAATATCATCATCATCTTCACTTCTATACCGCCCATAGGTGAAGCTCTCTGGGTGCTTTAGAACAAAGTATAAAAACAATAAACTATGAATGCAAGTACATTTATTCTTTTGTTTTCCAGTGGCATTTGAAACTTTGTCACCATAAATGCTGCTTTACTCCTACAAACTAAGCAGACTGCGTCTCCCACTCTCCTGACATTGTGTTATCTTTGGCATTCAACAGGTTGTTTAAATTGAGAAGTACAGAAATGGCTATTTGGCTAGAGTACAAAGAAAATCAGTTTTTTCCCCTAGTACAAATCTATCCAAACACTTTTTTTATCCCTGTAGCATGAAATAATTGTACTTTTTGAGAGTACAAAATTGTAACAGGGAAGGAACTGCATATTTTTTGCACACATGAACACGCACGTACACGAAAAAAGTACCAGATAAAACAGTATTGCTATTCTGCTGCTTTGCCATGACAGCACATCTTTGCTGTGCTACACAGTAGCAGGAACAAGATGGCAACAGGAAAGAAGAGATCAGTTTGTATGCTGGTGACAATTAATAGTGCATTTGATAACAGGCTATGGGGAAGGCATTTTACCCAGCTGGTGGAGCTGCTCTGCCATCTGGAGTGCTTCAGCCCTAAAACATACTGCAGCAGGAAACTCCAGGAAAGGAGTTGTGGTGGCCGGTGAGTTAATAAAAAACACTGGTATCATGTCGCAGATTTTTTATTCTAAGAAACTTAAAACCCAGGCAAGTAACTAAATAGACTACATGGACTATAGGAGGCAAAACCCTCCATCTTAACCTATAGGGATGAATTTCTGTTTCATTGTCTCAGAAGAAAGGGAGTTGCAATCTGCCAGTCTAATGCACAGAGGATGCAAAGAAGGATGCGTGCTCAGTTTGGTCTTCTCAACTACCAGCTCTGCTCCTGCTGTTCCTTCTGCACTATCAACCCAGTCCTGCTTTCCTAGCCGTCCCCTTCAGAGCGATGAACAGCTACAATCCTGTTGCGGCTGTCAGCTCCTTCCAAACGGGACCAAACTTACCACTGGCACAAGGAAGGATGGATGCCACAGACCAGGGACAGGCAACATGGTTCCCACAGAAGCAAGACGTGAATCCCAAAAATGCCTGGTTGCATGGTGACTATCCCTGCTGAGTGGTTGTGGCTCATGCAGCCATTTTTTCATATGGTCCAGGACATCCAACAGTCACGTATGCCTGCAGGCTCCAAATCATTGCCTGCTTTTGCCACAGCCCTCTTGGGCCAGTGTTAATTTGGTCTCGGTTCTAATAGCTTCATGTTCCTCTGAAGTGAATCAAATCCCTCCTTTCCACTTTCTCTGTACGGCCAACTCCAGTTAATCAGATAAGTCACAAACCATTTTAAAACATACATTGGACTGCCTGAGTTCTTGGCTTCCTTCTCCATCCTTCTTTGCAAGCCTGTGAGTGCACATGTTAAAATGAAGACACATAATTTTAGTTACTGGGAAGGGAATTGTGCATTCCAACCCTGGAAGGATTCTTTATCAATACATCTGAAGAAAGATAACTGGCCCCTGAGGAAGAATAGTTTTTTTCTGAAATGTAAAATGAAAGTATTTCCTTCAGGCATCTATGAACTTGTTTTGTGACAGTTTAAACAGCCACATTTCAGAATTGCTCATCTCCCCAGGGTGAAACAGTCCCCTAGAGCAAGACACACTTGAGAGCAGCAAGGAACCCTAATAACATAAAGGTTTGGTTTTGCACTTCTGAATTTCTAACAGCTACATTGTGAGAAGCAGCACACAAAGATTTGCATGAGAATGTAGGGGAAGGAATCAGAAGATACCTCAGCTGAGAGATGAAAACTAAGGACTGCCTTGGATATAAGAACTAGAGTTTGGAAATCAGTCATTTTAGACTACCTTACTTCTTTCTCTCTCTTACTATTTCAATGCACAGAGAAAGTAGATCCGAAGGGACTCAAAGCTTTGAAAACAAAAACACTTCACAATACTGTTTAAAACGAGGAAGTTAAAAAAACAAAAGAAATGCAGAGCACTGATTGTGTCCCAATATTCTTACTGCAGACAGCAAGTTCAAGATAATGTGTCCTTGGAGGAGCCTGTTCCACCAAGTTCTTTCGAGTTCTAGCAAGACACCAACCAGTTGTGTTGCCGTTGCTAAGTATTTATACAGCCATCATATCCAAGAGCGTGTATACATCACCCAAAACACCTTGATGGGTTTTAACACTATGCCAGTCACCTGCTTAGCAGTGGCAGAGTTGGCTATGGTGCTATCAATGTTCTTTCTCTCTCTGAGCAGGACATTTTTTTTCTGGGTGTTAAGAGCTGTGTTAGCATGTTGAAGAGACATAATCACTGCCCACCCACCTTCCCCTTCCCCCTGCTCGAACTGTGCTATGAGTCTCAGAAGAGCTGAAGGCTCTCTTGCGTGCAGCTGGCTGGAGGGTGTCTCATTTGCAGCCCCTCCGACGGGAAGAAGGAGGCCTGAAGGTCCACGTTGATACAGAACAGCCCCAGCATCAGCTGGCGATGGTACTCTTCCCATTTTGTCATAACGTCCGTCAGGGAGAGGTTGTTCCGCAGCCACTTGGGCAGAGCCTCCCCGCAGCCGATGCTCAGAGGCAGAGGCAAGCTCTGTGTCTTTCTCAGCTCAAGATGGTAGTAGAGCCTGAGGGAGAAAAGGCAAGGCTGTGAGTTCGGCATGCTGGATTTGAACACGGTGCCACAACTCTGTGTCTTCCAGTCTAGATAAGAAACAGAAAACAGGGAAAGGAAGAAGGAGAAAGGGAATGTCGGGGGAAGACAGATAAACTATACGTCCCGTTACAATGTCTCTCTCACATCATACCAGTCCCCTCGACTGTTATGATGGCATAAAGAAGGCAGCAGGACAGGCCGAGGTCGCAGCAAGGTGCAGGCGGAGCGTGTGCCATTCTCCCTTGTCTCTCAGTACTGACCTTTGGCACCTCGGGTATCCTAGTCCTGCCCATTCCTAGTCCTGTCATTGGCCCATTAGCAGGCAGTGCCACTTGAGCTGCATTAGGTTCAGAAGAAACTTTGAGCCTTCCGAGTCCTCAGGCTGGTGGTCGGCACACTGCTGAGATTCACTGAGTCTGGGGAAGGGAGTCAGGCGTACAAGTGAGAACAGCGCCAGTGGCACCGAGCAGGCTGCTCTGTGAAAGAGACGCTTCGCTAGCAGAATGGTGCCATTCGCTTGGTACCTCTGCCAGGGGCAGCTCCATCAATTGTGTCACTGACAAAATGTGCCAGCTGAAAGTGTAGCAATGTATGGCCAGGTGAGCAAGTCAAACACTACTATAAAAAACAAGACACGTTAACAGCTATATTATTTAAGTATGTAATGCCATCAATATACCTCGAAGGGGAGCAACCTTGGTGTAGTCTGGGGCCCCATAGGTCCCATTCCTGTTGCCACAGCACCAAATTTTGGTGGCACGGTAGCAGCAAACCTTCTCTAGAGATCTGTTGCCAGAATTCTGTGACAAATCATTACAGAAGCTTCAAAGGACATTTTGCTCATCTTCAAAGATCTGTGGCTGGCTTGCAGCTGAATTGCGGCAATGAACTGCTATGGGGTCGGAGCATCATGTGGAGTGCGGAATTTGGTAGTGAAGCAGCAGTGGTTGCTCATGAGGTCAGGGTGAAAAGTAACCTGCAGACCATGTATTGCCCATCCCTGATGCACATGATGCTCAACGAAGGACAGGCATGATACATTCTAAGCTTTTAGAGATAGCGTTAAGGGACAACTTGCAACTAAAAACATTCATCTAGTCAACGCCCCATCACACTCACACAAAAAGTGGTTGTACATTTATCCTGAATGTAAATTAGAATTCCTAGAAAAACCCTGTTAGCATCTTACCTAGCATTTCCCTTGCTAAAACTGGGCTCACCTACTTTTCTCTATGGGGGAATACACCCAAGGAAGGTCAGGATGGTTTTCATGAAACCATCTCTGCTCAAAGATGTATTTGGTGGACTTAACAAAAACTAAATGTTAAGTATGAGGTTGCCTCAGGGTTGCAGAGGGGAGACATGTCCCTATGTATCCTTTTTTTTTCCAGCCTCATAACAGGAATGCTGGTTCACCTGACTCATCAGGGGATGACTTGAGCTAGCTGCAAAGAGACAGCTCTTCAGAGTGCTCAGTACAGAGGGGAAAGGTCACTTCTCTCTGGCGAGTCTAAGCCTACACAGTATCTTCAATATATATGCTCTGACACCCATGAGCTGTAGCAACTCTAGAGGGTAGCCACTGAAATGAAATCAGATTGGGGAATGTGAGGATTGACTTAGCAAGGTCTGAAGCAGAGCACTACTCACTTTTGCCTAAATGCAGGTGCCATTTTCCAGGCAACTGCAGTCCCTGATCAAGGGGAGATTATACTCCTGTTCAAGCAAACTTGGACAGAGCTCCCTTTCAGTCCTTGCCGATTCAGCATGGCAAGATCTGAATGGAGGAGGGTGAGGTCAGTGTGCCTGGAGACACAGGGGATGGGCCAGTGTGGAAGCTCCATTCCTTCACCACAGTAAGCCTCCGTGTTCTCAGATAAGGATATTGTTGGAAGAGTCCAAATGAAACCAATTTCCTTCCATGTCAGCACAATCAAGGTCAAAGTCTCTCAGTTTTACAGGTTGATCATATGACAACTTGGAGACGCCTCTCTCAGTGTTACAAGCCTTCCACAGATCTAAGTCAGAGATCAAGTCTAATACCTGGCTGAGAGGTGACTTCCTAGCTTCTTCTTGGCTTTTCTCATGAGAAAGTGACAGACTTTCCTCGTCTGCTCCTTCATCCATCGAATGTCTTCTGGAACATCAGGCAACCACTCAAACAACCTGAAGGAGGCAAGCAACATGGCAGGAAAACTCTGGAGCAACAATTAGGAGCACAGTCAAAGGCCCTGCTTCCTCGCAGCTCCACTGAGGAGCTAGCCCAAGGATGCCTCTCGGGTCAGTGGCAAGTATCCATGCAAGAGCAGCCCCGCTCACCCAGCATGCTCTTCTCACAGTGACCAATCGGCTGCCTGTGGGAAGCCCACAAGCAGGACTCGAGTGCAGCGGTCCCCTCCTGTCCATGTACCCAGCAACAGGGACACACTGCCCGATACAGAAGGTGGTACAGTCAGCATGATTTTAGCTAGAGATAGTCTTGTCTTCTATGAAAGAACTCTAGGCAACAGCGGTCCACAGTGACAAAGCAAATTATGTAAGAAACTTTTCAAGTTGTATTTGTTAATGAAAACCTTAGGTGCTTTACATGAAATGCACCTGAAAAAGTATGTGTGATAGGACTGACATGGTTGTTACCACATATGCCGCATTTCCTGGAAGCGGCTTCCTCAGGCAACTGTGATTTGAGCGTAGGCACAAATGTGTGGACATTAAACTGCACGGAAGGACCGATCAGACGGATCCTTCCAATTGGATAGGAACAAGCCCTGCTGGCAGGGTGCCGACAGAGGCAGCTGGTGGCGTATCGCAGGGCTGTGCACCCATTCCTGATTCCATCCCCCTGAACCCTAGCCTGCCCACTCTTCCCCTCCCTTTTAGATCCAGCATTATGGATCGCCCCCTTAAAGCTCAGGCCACAATCTGGAGTGGATACACAGCCCCACTGCGATCACACACCAGCCTCCACCAGGTGCTGAGGAGCATAACCCAAACAGTTGGCCTGTGGTGGTCCAGTTTCCCTCCCTGCATGCGCACACACACTGGCTGCGTGGGACACGGGGGAAGCAGTTTCCGTGCTGCTTTGCATGCATGCATGGAACTGAGGTGTGCAGCAGACGTTCAAAGATTCCTCTTAGCTGGGTTAGACTGAACCCTTCCTACATTTCAATTTGCTCCTAGAGCCTGCCAGCTAAAGACAGCTTTGGTACCATGATGCCGTGTCAACTCTGAGGACTAAGTAAAGGTCAGTGAAAGACCAAGCCATTGTATTTGCCCAATATCAGCCCTCACCACACACACAAATGCACAGAACTTTCACTTCCAAGAAGCAGACGAGAAGCTCCTTTCCCAGGACTTCTGAGGGAAAAGGAACTGAAGGATTGGACAGGGGCCCTCCCCTTATAACTGGGCTCCGGGGGGGCTGAGGCCTCACCCACTCCATGAGGCTGAGCTGTAGAAGGTTCTTCCAACCTAGGCCATCTGCTGTCCCTAAAGCTCAAATGTGTGATGCAAAGAGACCACAAAGAACTGATTTGATCCCTGTGTATTTTGTCCAATGCTTGTTGCTTATTATTTTCTTTCCAGTATTTTTGATGATTTTATGCTTTTGATCTTGTGTGAACTGCTTTGAAGAACATTTTTTAAATGCAGAGGGAACATAAAAGGGCATTTAAAAAGCAAATTAATGCAAATTAAACATAGCTCTGGGTGACTTACAGCCAGGGCATGCTGCATGCATGCACTATGCACAATAAGAAAATAAAATATTCTACATCAGCCTATGAACCGCCAACAATTGGATTTGGCATGGATTCAGTCATCACTGAGCAGAATGAGGGCTATGGCCCGCTCTCCACCATTGGAAAGAAAGCTTGCTCAACCTCTTCCGAAGAATTGCCTGTATAGCTACAACCCTAACTGGAGCCCAGTTCTGAATTATGCAGCAGTTCCAACAGTGTGCCAGGGATGCTTTCCATATGATTAGTTAACATCATTGGAGAAGGTCACAAGGAATTCCCTCTTTGGAGTGGATGTGGCTCCTGCATTATTTGGAACAAAGTTCAACTACACACTCACTTCTTAACCTTCCTGCTGACGCAGCGGTCTATATCTCAGCCCTGTATTTTGGTTCCTACCAGCAACACCCTTTTGTGTAACAATCTCCGAAGCCGACTCAGACCCTACCTGACCGTGAAGGAGAGCGCAGACTCCAGAGGAAGCGTGTATGGAATCATTAGCACTGACGCCAGACGCACAGGCAGCAGGTTGGCCACACCGGTGAAGAGGCCCCTCCGCTCAGCACAGGCTTCCAAGAGGGCTGAAAGTGGAAAAGGTGCATTAGCCTGACCACTGACCCAGTGGGGAAACCACCTATTCCTAAGGTTAAGAGCAGGCACCAACGGCCCGGAGGACAACTGTTATTAAGGCAGCAAAAGTGGGGGAATCAGCAGCTTAATTCACAGAGACCTTTGGACCCAAGTACTGAATGTCCACACCAGACCAGAGATTGAAGGCGTTTGCTGAACGAACCCCTTGCAGCTCCCTGGGACACACACACACACACACACACACACACACACACACACACCCCGTGTTGTGAACAGAGGAGGGAAGCTCACATCAGGTCAAACATTGCTGTATATCCCTTTTACTTCTCTTCATGTCAAATCTCACTTAATCACCCACAGATCATACAAATCTATCCAAAGGGGCTCATCATCCCCAACACTGATGCTTTCACTGTCTCTTAAGCCCCCAAACAAAGAAGAGTTCCAACAAAATGTCTACAACCAGAAATGTTTTTGCACCAAATTTATTTTCATAAGTAGCCTTCACTAAGACTAAAAAGGTAGGTTCGTACATGCACACACAGCCTTCAAAACATTAGCCATGTGAAAGCGGCACAGACAGATTTCCCAAGGTCATGCCGGATGCCTGCCAGAGGCCAAAGAGCTAACAGCACACCGCACGTCACACCGCCTGCCCCAAGCATCTCGTGCATGCAAAGATTCCTAAATTACACTTGCATACAGCCAGTCATGCTTGCAGTACGGTCAAATCAATGCCACCCTCATGGCTTCCTCAACAGAGCCTGGGGATGGTAGTTTGCTCTGTGCCTTATGTACTCAACAGGCTTCTCTAGCTTGTTGGATGTCATGGGCTGTAGATCCCATCATCCCCCAACCAGGGTGGCCACCAATCATGTTGGCAGTCCACCGTATGGTGGCAGCAGGCTGTGCCAGGGAGAAGCAAATCTTGCACCAAGTAAAAACATACCCATGTTCCGAAAGTCCCAGATTATTAACCTAGCCTGTCAACATTCTCCTTCGTTCAGCCTCTCACAAAGAACCCCCGTTCTTAGAGCACAAACAGCCCAGCCTGTCTAAAGAGGAGAACCTTGGAGCAGCAGAGTCACAAGGCAAACCAAAAGGTCCTACCTTGGTTCAACTCGGGAGGCAAGTGTTCAAGAATGTGTTCCTCAGCCTCTCGGAGGGCAGCATTCTCCCCCAGCTGGTCATCCTCTTCCTCGGTCTTTCTCTCCCCAGCACTGTTTTCAATGGCCAAAGGAGGGCGAATGAGCCTTGGGCGCTGGAGGAGACCTGGGAAAGGAAGAAGTGCAGTGAAATCATCACAGTCCCGACAAAAAGCCTTAAACATCCCCTGGATTACATTTGTTCACGTCTCACACTGGAGAAACGGCATGTGATATTGTCTACACTAAAGCAGTGGCCAAGAAATGGTCACAAAGGCAAGCTGGATGGCTTCATACACTCTAATGCATGGCAGGGAGACTTTTAAAACATTAAACTGTTTGTTGTCATTTCACTGACCATGCCATGCTTCAGATGTCTTCGGGATTTTTTTTTTGTGGGGGGGGGGGGTTAAAGAAATGTACAGAGGGGCACTCAAATGTACAATTTCTCCAACCCAGAGTCTAAAACAACATTAGGAACCCAGGAAATCTGCACGCAGCCTTCAGTCCCGCCCATTCTACAATGCATTTTGTGATCTGTGCATGCCCTCGACTTCGCAGTTCTATCATCAGAGGTCATGAGCCGCCCATCAATATCCACAATCATAAAAAGACTTTGGATGTCACCACGTTGATTCTCAGATTATAGCTGCACTGCCCTGTCGCTGAGGCTGTATCTCTGCAGAGCTGCTTTAATCTCATGGAAGGCAGAACAACTGCATCAGTCTCTCGGTGTACGCAAGGAAGGCATACCCTGCTATGACAGAGCCTGTGGTGGACAAAGCTGCTGCACAACCGACAGTCCACCACAAGGTGACACTACAGGCCCAGGCAATGTGCTCTGGCCACAGCATCGGCTGCCTGCACAGTGACAGGCAGAGCGAGGGAACAGCAAGCATCTTACTGCTGCAGGAGGAAAAAGTGCCAAAACAACTCAATATCCAACATGTAGGAATTCTTGGATGAAGATTACTCAGAGCTGTTCCCATCTAGATCCAGACCCAAGGCAGCTCGTGCTGGAACGGTTTTGGTCACCCTGATGGAGGACCTCTGCTGGGAGAAAGAGGCAGGAAGGCAATGGCTCTTCATGACCTCTCAGCAGCTTTTACACCATGGGCCATGGTACACTGCTGGACTGGCTCTGTGGGTCAGCACAGGGGCCACAGTGAAATGCTAGTTCTCCTCCTACCTCTGGGGCCACTTTCAGGAAGTAGCAAGGAGGCACAGCCCCACAGCACTTGTGCTGTGGGGTCCTGCGAGAGGCTCCATGAGGCTCTCCCTTATCCCACATGCTCTTCAACATCTAAACAAAGGGTTTGCCCTTGTGGTGCCAGAGAGGTTGAGAGAATTGAACACGTTATTTTTTTACTGTCAGTTTTTAACAAGAAATATGGGCCAAGTTTATTTCTCATCTGCTTAGGCAGATCTGATGCAGAGGTTGCTGGGAAGCTCCTTATAGGCACCAGTGCCCAGTTAACAGCTTGTTGTGCTAGGTTAGCTGCCTGCAAGATCTGCAAATATATCATATGCAATGTTTTAAATTTTTAATTAAAAACTGTAACAGGAAATTTTAAACAATTTTTTATCATTTGATTATTGTTACTTTGGCTTTTAATAGTTGGAATATTTTAACCCATGGCATTATCTTTTAATTGTTTATTAAGATCTAGCTGGTCACTGACTGTAATAAATTGTTATCGCAGTCGTTGTCATAAATTGAGATAAGAGGATGCTCAGTGAAGGGTCACTGCTATGCTGATGACTCCCAGTCCTATTTCTCTTGGGCTTCTGAGTCAGGGGAGGCCATGCAGGGCAGAGTCAGTGCCTGGATTCGGTAATGGGTTGAATGAGGACTAAGCGGAATCCTGACAAGATGGAAGCACTCTGAACAGATGGCTCCCAAGCCTGGGAACGGGGCCCACCCTAAACAACCTTTAAAACCCTAAACAACTTGGGACCCAATTATTTGAAGGTGTCTTTCTGCTCTAGTCCTACCTCTCTGTGTCTTAAGACTTGCAGATGAGGCTCTTTTCTGGGTACCTTCGCCAGGAGATGTGTATCATGTGACAAGGAAGATGACCTTCTTGGGGGTGGCACCTGACTGTAGCATACATTCCTCGCAGACATGTAACAGGCAGTGCCCCTACCATTTTTTCTTGGCACCATCTTAAACCTTTTCTATGTGCCTAGGAAACTTAAGCATTCTTCTGTTAGCTGCCCTGTTTATCACCTATCTTAACATTTATCTTATGTCGTGGTTTTGCTTTTATTGTGCTTTATCTTGACAAGATAGATTTTGGTCATGCCCTGTGTATACTGCCTTGGTATCTGTGAGAATCAAGTGTGGCTTAAAAATGTTTTACATATAGTAAAACCAAAAGGTGCTCAATGCATTATAAGGCTCTTGCACACTTTCCATTAACCTCAAGTCTGTGCTGAATCTGACACATGGATACTCCTGCAGCTCTGTGTACAGACACAAAAGAGAGAGCCTCCGTGCACAGATTTGTCATATCTACTGTTTAAAGAGACAGTTTTTAATTTTGACAAAGTTCCACTATAGCAGGAATAGATATTAACCTCTGAGTCACACAGGGGTTTCTCAGTTATGCAAAATGGAAAGGGGGTCTGCTTCAGCAAGGTGGCAGCACCTGCACTGTTCATCAACCTTTCTCTGTAGACGCACACCACAGAAGTCTCTTTCCATTCCAACACTGTGAAGTTTCTGGAGACCTTGAAAGCTGTTGTACTTAAACCAGATGTTAACCTCCCGGTAAAAGATACTATTTGTATTGCCTGTTTCTGCATAGCAACACCGGCTAAACGGAACTGCTGCAGATTAAGCATCCATGGACTGCAATATGCCTCCTCTTTTTATGCAAGCACAAAATAGAAAAAATCTATAAAGCAGAGGAGAAAAGCATTTACACAGAGTTCTCTTCTACTAGAGATTGTAAGGATAGTAAAGGCAGGGCTTAAAAGCTCACCGTTCTTCTTCAGGAAGTGCAAAGCATCCCTGTATCCCTGCTTGCACATGTCCCGCAGAACCTGAGGAGATACAAGGCAGTGCATATTATCCAGGGTTCAAGCAGGCTGTGGCTAAGTAGGGAGTGTGAGCAGTGCCTCCTTTCTCACTACCACCATCTTTACACCAACCATGTATTTTGCTGCAGCGACAATACAGGAGTCCAGAACATGCCAATGCACCAACACGGAAAGTGCACGCAGAGCTGGTGGCAAGGGGTTGAGACGTGTCAAATTGAGACACATCGATGAATACATATTCAGGTTGGTGCACGTGAAAGGAAGTGGGCAGCGATGCAACCGTGGAACATTACCACATATCCTATATTACTCACAGACTATGCATGACCTGGGAGAAAGGCCATACGCAGTATGGACTGCAGCCATCCCTTATGCTGCTAAATAAAGGAAAGAGGAGAAGCACGGGGGAAATATTTCACTCTGTGAAATGACTCTGGATTGTGCTCTCTTGTACACTGAGGCAGAGAGTGGAAATAATGATGAACAGCATCAGAGACAAATAGTGTGGCCAGAGGACTGGATGAAACAGAAGCTAAGAGAAACGGTGTTTCTGTGACCAGTGCCTAACTAAGCAGGTGAAGGGTGCCTGAAAACCCATCACTCATCGTCTGGCCACACACTTGATCACATTTAATCTCCCATACTTCTTCACCAAAGTGGCAGGAGCAGACAGAAGTTTATATTTCTAACAAGCTGAGCTATTCATATAAATGTATAGATAGACTTGCATCCAGTGCTGTGCTTCCATTAACAGAAGGCCCTCTCTTTCCAGAAGGGAGGTAATTTTTGTAAATCTTCCTTCTCTACCTAGTCACCCTGCTACAATGGCTGGGGGCTTGGATCTAGGAGATGGAGATGGAGGACAGACGTTAAAGCTACTAGCAAATCAGCAAGGACTTCCACCTCCCAATGGTTTAACAGCAACAATTTCTCATCCAAAGCTCACTGTAGATTATAATGCAGGAGTAAAGAAAATTTGAGGGAATTAGGAGTGGATTTGTATGTGGAAGGATTACAAACTTGGTCCAGTTCTGGTATTCAACAGAAATCCCTAGGCTCAGAATTATCTTAACTTATGTCAATCTTGTGCACTAGGCTCCAGCTGGTAGATCACTCTATTTTAATAAACTCACACATGCATGCGCACACACAGAAATCTGCTCCTGCAGTAGGGCAAAACTTCCAAGAATCACCTCTCTCCCTTCCATTCATGGAAACCTCTCCTGGATCAAAGCAGACTTCCATGGATGGATGCAACCTGAAGTACTTGAGACCAAACTATGTGTAAAATAAGAGTGCTCCTACACATGAAAAAGGGTGGGGAAGCAAGAGGAGCGGCAAGCCAAGTACTTGCCAATCTTCACAAATCAAATACAGTCCGAAAGTATTTTCAATACCACTTAATATTTCTTGTGCAATATTTTCAAGCATCTTAGTGTTGTTCCAGTACTATAAAAATGGCCTTCATAAAGGAAGGCTAATTGCCCATAACCTTTGAAAGAGAGCCAGCTTAAGCACAATGCCAACAGAGATTATGTTACCTCTCAACGCCCCTCTAAAGAATGAGAGGGAGCGTCCAAGTTATATAACATGCACTAGTTTATAACCCCTGTGCCTTTCAATGACTTTGTTACTTGTTTTCTTATACAAAACATGTGCAGCTGTTCATGAAATGTGCTTGACAGTCAAAGGGGAGGGCTGCACACGGAAGCTTCAAGGAGGATGGGGCAGTGTCTAGTCAGCTCCAAGTTGTGCAGTCCAAACGGCACTAGCACAGTAAGTTGGGCAACTGTGCATAACCCAACTTGCAATGACCAAGTTATCCCAGACAGAAAAACCTGAGTTTAACAGAATTTTGGCAGGCAGAGAGGAAGAGAGATGGAGGCAGCATGAAATATTTATAAGGAGTGAGGGAAGGAACAAGGTGATAGAAGTCACTGAATGTGTGAAAAACGTGTGTGTAGAATTTGGTAACACTTGTTTTGCATCATTTGTGGCCCTTTTAAAATAAATATATCACTGACGACAAACTTTGAGGGCATTTAAGCTTTTGCAAAGAGGCCAATCACATGCTTTCAAGGTTGTGTTCATTATTAGAAGCATCTGGAAACTATAGGTTTCTTACTATATTCTGTGCTAGGGAGCAAATGTGATAAGTTGACAGCTCCACTTCTCACAATTTTGATATTCAGGTGAAATTCATGATATTCAGGTTGCAATCCTAGGCACGCTTACTTGGAATAATCCCCATAGAACATAGTGGAGCTTGCCTCTAAGTAAAGATTACATGGTTTGTGCACACAGGCCATCTGGGTTGAAGGGCTTTGGGGTTTTATACTTACTTCCTAAGACACTTCCTAAAGTTCCTTCAAGTGAAAGGCTGCAAACAAACTTCAGCAGTTCTGGTGCTGATGCAAGTACTAACCAACCAACCCAAAACCCCTCCCGGCACGATGCTTGGCCCTCACCTGAGGCTCTGGCGGGAACAGGGCCTTTGAGAGGCGGTAAAGGTTGCGCAGATTGAACTGGATGCTGGTATTGGTGACCCTGAGCTCATGGATATTGGTGGAACTGTCCCGTGGGCAGATATCGCTCTCCCCTGAGAAGGGGGATACTGTGATGGTGTTCTTCAGCTCATATTGTGGCAGGTTGTCAGAAATGCCTCCATCAACGTACCTCTGGAAGGATAGAAAGTCCAAGGAATTGTTTACATTATTGATCTTTTTACGGCTTTGACTGCAGCCTTCACTTACCTGGTGGTCCCCTCCAGACATGTTGGACTGCAATTCCCAGCATTCCCCTAGGCAGTATAGCATAGCTGGCTAGGGGAAGGCTGGAAGTTGCAGCTCAACCCAGCAGAAGAGTGTCAGGTAGAAGAAGGCTGTCCTAGTCTTCCCCTCCATGTATTTCCTGCACCTCTGAAACAACCACAGGCAGTTGCAAACACAACAGCACTTCTCAGCTGTCCATTCAGTTCTGTACTTCAGCCTATGTGAGTTCAAATGCCCCGCATATCCCTTCCCACCCCAGTCTGCAATTCCTTGTTTGTTAAGACCATTGCACGTGGGCCCAAAACTACTCAAAAGCACATGATGCAAGTGCACCTTGCTGTCTGTGATCTGTATTGAGAGGGCTGAAAATGTTTGATCTTGAGGAGCGTGTATGCATGAACACGTGCACAGGACTGGGTTGCTTGGAGTTCTGCTTGGTAACTCAAATGAGCCCAAGGAGAGGCGATGGAAACACGTGCTTTGAAACAAAACCCACCCATACAGTTAATCTTAACATCATTATGTCATGAAGAGCAAAATATTATTAGATCCATTTATCCGTTAGCGGCCTTTCACCTACTTTCCAGCAAGGAACAAATAGTTTATGCTGACCTTCTCTGCCACCTCCCGGACCACTGGAATGAGTTCAACGGCATGACACTCTTCTCTACAAATACTCTCTCTCTCCCCAGGGCAGGATGAGTTCATCACCCAGTTACTGGCACAACAATACACAACGTTTGTTTGTTTTAGTTATGCGCATGATCCTTGGACTTGCACATCTCCCCCTTCCCTCTCCTTCTCCAGAGTTCCTTTTGCTTCTGATTTCAATTAGCCAAAGTTTGTTGTTATGGCTAAATCCTAAAGTTTATCTGTAGTTAGTTGAAACTAGCCCTGGGAAAGGGTCTTCAAAGAAATTGGTAAAATATTGAATTTAAATACTGAACTTGATTCTAGATTGGCATTACTGTCATTATTTAGAGAACATATGGGACAAAATATTAAAGAATTGATGATAAATTTATTAACAGTAGTAATAATAATAACAAGAAATTGGGAGATAAAAGGTGAATATCATATAGTTGACTGGTATAACGGAGTCTGTAATACAGCTATTAATGATAAGTTAACTTGTGATATTAAATTGAAAAAGGTTTGATAAGTGAAAACAAATTTGAAAATATTTGGAGACCTTTTATTGAATATGTTTTAATAAAAGGAAAGGGGTGTGACCCACCACAACAGTCAATGCAGTTCTGGAAGGGAAGTGGGGCAACTTGAATGAATAAATGATCTTACATTAACTAGAGTTGTTGTCCTGGTGGAGGTAGCACTGATATTAATGTCTTGTTTAATCATCTTAATTAGTATTGATTAATTAAGTTCATTGTTACTATATCAATTGTATTGGTTTTGTTAGTTTATTTAATTAATAAAAAGAAACAAACAAATTAAAGAAACTAGTCAGCTTCATGAATTATGGTTTCAAGTTGGCTTGTTTCAACAAATCATAGCTAAAATTTAGCACAGTTGTCTGGGCTCAGATACAACGTTAACTGTGGTAGCCGAAGTGGAAGCTAAAGCTTCTGACCACCCATTCCCAGCTTCACTAGAAGAGGACAAGGGAGGCAGGCCATGCACAAGCCCAAAGCTCACTGCAGCTCATTCTGGAAATGACAGGCTATCGGTTTATTACATTGGGATGAGTCATGCTAGGCTTTGGAGACAACTGGGTTTGTTCTGCCCTCTGTTCTGCCTTATTGCTCCCTGGCCTGGATGGGTATTGGTTGAGCAGTGCCCTGTTCCACTGGCACAAATGTTAAAGTTCAAGGGGAAGGCTGCAATTGAGCTGATAGACTTTATGCAGTGCCCACATCTGCAGTGCAATTAGCTAACGTGTTAGCTTTTCTGCTTCTGGGAAAAAATACCCCAATGCCCATGAGATAAACGGATGAAAAGCAAACAGTTCCAGGCTTGGAGAGAAACAATTCACATGGAAAAGATAATACGCAGTAATCTCTTGGGGACCACAATGTCTACTGTTGTCCTGTGCGTCATATACCCACTATTTAAAAGAAGGCAATATTTCTTGCGGGAGATGGGGTAAAATGAGGCTGCAGAAAGCAGGCAGCCTCACCCCTTTTAATGAGACATTATACAAGTCACTACAGACTCAGATGAACTAACAAACTTGTAACTGCAGGAAGAAAAGAGTCCTATGTGCCATCTTAGGACTGTGACTGAATATAGATTTTTACAGCTTCAGCATCAAGACAGCTCCACAGCCTGGTGAACAGACCCTGCTTCCAGAGACTGATGACATTCATTTGACAAAAGGTGTTTATGGACTTGGGATTCCAATTCCAACACAACAACTGTGGTCACCTTCAACAAAGGACCAGGGCTCTGTGACAGTAAGAGCAAATTAGCCAATGGCATCAGGGGGCTGACCAGGCAGAAGTCAGCAGGGATGTTCTGTGAAAGGCCTGCTGTCCTAATGGGCTTGTGGAAAGCAAAAGGCCTGTTCAGTCAGTTTTTCACCAAAACTGCTAAATCGAAAGCCTTTCAACACCAGTGTCCACAACATTCACCCCCAGTGTCTAAGGATGTGAAGATGGACTAAGGATGTGAAGATCAGGCCAGATCAGGCTCTCTTTCACTCACCAGACTTTTGGCCAAGAAGTGAGCTGAGCCAAGAGTAAGTCCACTAATGCTTGGGAGTACTAGCAGCAGCTTCACACAAAGTGTGGAAAGCCCACAAGTCACATGTGTGGAAGGAGAATTCTGCTTGCACGGCAGGTACACAAGCTGCATGTGTGCAAGCCAGCCCCAGGGACTCATCTGGACTTGCATCCTGCTGGGTGTCCATGTGAATGCTTAGTGTAAGGCAGAAAGAAAGCAGGCCCAAGTTTGGGCAGCCAAGCTGAGGAAATCTGACAGATGTCCCGCCCCAAACCAAATTCTTCACATATCACTAAAAGGGACGTGGATGTCTTGAAAGTGCCCAGCAGTGCATTTCCCATATAGCCTTCAACTAAAGAGATTAAGTATTCATCATAATTCCTCTGAAATTTAGAGGATTTATGGGGTTCGCTTGCTAGAAATCAATGAACACCCTCTTCCTCAGTGGAGGCCAATACCTGCATCTCCTGCACAGTTTTTAGTTATTTAGCTGCACCCTGCCTTTCTACCAAAACGGACAGCATTAAAGGTGACATCTCAGTCACAAGCCTCAGAAGCAGATTAAAGTTCGGAATGCCACAGAAACCAACTGGATGCAGGCAGAGAAAGAACACAGTGTTCTCAAGCCACCAGGGTCTTGCCTAGCGGTCTCCAAAGCTTGTTCCAGGAAGCCCAGCACATTCTTCCACGCTAGCTCATTTGGGCAGACAGCTGGGTCCCACTCTAGCTACTAAGCACAAAATCATCAAAGAAACATGGTTCACCTCCCGTATACTGGCAGTAAAAGCAGCCCTGCTTTCCTCCTCCCACATCCCATCTCCTATTCTGCTGCATTAATCTAACTGAACAGCCAGCATGGAACTGGAGAAGGAAGAGACTGTTGATACTGCTAGCCAGAATCATTCTTATTTTACTTCATTTCTTAGCCTCGTTCTTCACAACTGCACTGGCTAAGAATGATAGGCGTTGCAGTCAGTGCATCTGGTGGGTACAGAGTTGAGGAAGAATGTTATGGCATGTCATGGCTGCAGCTGCAGCTGCTTTGGCTTGCACAGCAAGTGCCCATGTGTTGGTGCAGGTTGCCACGCATTCCACACACACTTGAGGTGCTTGCATGGGAGCCAAGCCTGTATTTGGGGAGTTCAGTGGGAGCTGCCACCCCTCCAAGGTGACTCTCTGCTGTCATCAGAATCTTGAACTCTCCTCTTTGCATCAACTCACAACTTCTTCAACTATCCATCCTTTCCTGCTGCCTAGAAAAGCAAAAGACATCAGGCCATATTCAAACAGCTCTCCTTTCCACACCTAAGAGGCATGGCATGGTGGCTACAAAGCAGAGCTATGAACAGCCAGGGAATTCCTTGGTTCAATTCTTGCCTCCAACACAGATTTGCCAAGCAGACTTTGACAGCTTGCTCTCTTTGAGCTTCAACCTACAACCTTCCATTTATAATATGGTGATCATAACAAGGACCAACACTGAATGAACTGCAGATTGATAATACAGAGTGAATGTCTGGAGCTAGAACAATATGGAGGTGGCATTACTCAGGTGTCACACTGGTTCTTTCTTCTGTGCAATCATATATGGAAAAATTACAAAGTCTGCAGGAGTTCCAGAGGCTACTCTGAAGAATTATAACTTGACCATCGGGTGATGCATTCTTGACATCCAAGCCCAGTCAAGGTTTCTTCATGTTCTGGCAGGTGGCTTCCAACTCCAGTTTCCATTCTAGCAGTTGGTTTGTGGTTTGCAAACCATAACAATGCTTTTCTGGTAGTAGCACGTGTTTGTTCGATACCATTTTCATCACTGGACAAAGAAAGCAATTTAGCAGCAGTAGTATTTTTTTTCATTCCATCAAAAATAAACATATTTTAGCAAAGGTGGGCTAGATCTCTAACAATGATGCCAGGACTCTAGGAAAACCAGAGTCTTTTGAGATTTGGACCCAGGGAGTTTGTGCTGATGAAGCAAACCTGTATCAACTCACTTCAACAAGACTCCCATACAGCAATAAATAAATTTGAAAGTGAAAGTTCCTCTTGGCCTACTTACCACACCTTGAAGACTTGGAGGGATCAGGCCACAGTACACAGGGATGAAAGTGCTGCAAACACATGCCTGTGGAAGAGGAAGATGCCACGTGAAATGAGCGAAGCTATCTAGCAAAACCTGGACACTGTGCAGGGGATGAAGATGTTCCAGGTCATAACCAGCCTGTAGTCGTGAAAGCACAGGCAGCTCACATGTCCCAGTTCGCAGGGTTGGTGGAACCCACAGCCTCACACCCAAACTGGTGACAGCCGACGACTACAAATCTCAGCATTCCTGCTGGCTGGGGCAGATGGGAATGGAAGCCCAACACTATTACTTACTTGGATAAGTTCCTCTTTGGAGTTGAACTCAGATAATATGACATTTTCTCCATCGGAGACCCGGGTCAGGGAGATGCCCAAGCGTCCAGTGGCTATCTCATGCCCGTTGTCTGGCAGGGTCTTGTACAGGCAGGTGCGGATGATTTTCACCAAATTGAACGATGGGTGCAAGGGGCCAAGAAACTTCTTCCGGGCTTCTTTAGAGACGTGGATGATATTGGCACCTGCTTCACCTGCAGCACAGAAAGCAATGCCAGTTGAAGGGATACTGCTTCATGATGCTAAATTGGCAGTCTTAACACACACAGAAAGGGTATGTGTTCCGTCTACATTTATAAGCAGAAGCCTCCAACCACAGATGAATACTGCTCCCCCTCTGAAAATTTTCTGAAAATGGCTCCAAAGACAGTAACAAACAAATAGTTCAGGAATCACAAAATTACAGTACTACTAAGATGGAGGAAGATAAGGTAGCTTGAGGAAGACTTGCCAATAAGCAAAAAGAAAAGTAGGATTCCAGCTTTAATAATCTCTACTGGCAAACTGCAGTTCTGATGATGATTTTCAAAAATGCAGCAGCTCCCCTTCAGCCATCAGCTGCAAAAGTCATGCAGTTCAGTTGGTGCTCTTAAACAGGAAATACATGATTCCCCCCATGGGGGGCACATGGCAGCCACTCAGGAGCCCCCGTGGCACAGGGCCATGTTTGAACTCTGCTGCATTACCATGCCTGGTAACTATTTTTTCCATTAAATACAATGTTGTCTCCCGTTGGATCTAGACAAGTGCTTAGGCACCTGGCATGTAAAATCTAATTAAATTTAAATTATATAACTTTAAATAAACTAAATATATGGTTTAGTCTGTTTCAGATTTATACCTCCCCTTATCCCCCTTGGGTCTCCTTGCCATAGAGCTTCTGGCTGGAGACCTTCATGTTTTACAGACCGTTCACTCCCATTAAAGTCAGACAGACAATTGTGCCATCTCATTTGCAGCTGCTGCATTTTATAACTTCACAAGAAGCATCCATTTACACCAATAAGATGCCTAAATGGTAGCAGATTAAACCCTAGCTCTCCACCCCCATGCTAAACAGATATCTGTTGAGACATCTAGCTTTGGCTATTAGGTGGTACAGAACTATCATCCTCATCCACTGTCACAGAAGCAGCATGTGCACTGCATGGTATTCAAAACTTACATGGAAGTTTGCTTTTAAGCCTATATTACAAGAGACTTTAGAAACTAGTCTTCTCACTGGAAAGGATAGGCATTAAATGTAAAGGCCAACACAGATTTTAGTGCCTCAGATATTAGACTTGATCCTAGGTATATTTGACCTGCTGATTCCAAAAAGGTCACCAATTTTTCCCTATCAGCTCTAGTTTTTGAGATACAGCATATGAGTGGGAATACACACACATATCCTATATGATCATAACAATAATACAGTTAATAAATTCCCCTTTAGAATTCAATGTTTCTGATGTAAAATTACAGTTGGAAGTACACAAACATTCTCACTGTATTTGCTAACTTGTACACAAAAACACAAACTAGGCAATAGAAGAACAAGTTGATCAGCAAGTTCTTTTTAAAAACTAAAAATTATATAAATTTGACCATTTCTAGGAAACTAGAGCCAATGTAGTCTAGCCAATGCAATTTTCTGAATCAGCACCCCAAATAATCCCAAGAACAGGTCTAAAAAGCAAGGCACCAAGAAAAAAGAGAGATATATAGGTTGGGCTGTGATATATTGATTTGGGAGAAAAAAAAGCAACACATCAGTTTTACTACAAGAATATATCCAGGCATCTACTTATGTGAACATGTCCTCCACTGCCCTGACAAGTCTGCAGCTATAAAACATGTCCCTTTACGTGTATAAAACAGAACAGATTGTTAAAACTGCTCGGCCATGTTTCACAGATTATTACACTATCCAGTTACTGTTGGAATCAGGATATTTTTAAACCAGAATTTCGTTCCACCTGCCCTAAATCACAACAGCACTCATGTAAAAACAGCACAGCAAATTAGACTTTTGATTATTGGGCAGGACACAAACGTAATAAACAAACAAACCTGCAATTTAGCCTCAGTTGTTTCTTCTCATGGCAAATTGCACCCTAGACTGCCCAGTAATCAAATAATTGAGCCTGGTGAAGTGCATCCTTCTACCCACCCTCCCTCCACCCAGTGCTTCAGGTCCTTTTCTTTTTTAAAAGGGAAATAAGGATAGACGTGACAAACAACATTTGACACAGATTTCCAGAATGGAAGGCTGATTTCCCCAGAGCATTTTTTTTTAAAACTTGGAAGCAGAACAGGCTTTGATTCAGTCTTTGAAGTCTGGCTGAAAAAGAATGAGCTGGGTGGAAGTCCCACCATTTTCTCCCTATTGTGGCAACTGTACTGCTCTACCATTCTGCAGCTGCAGAAGCAAAAGACTTGTGGGAAGCAAAACTCAGTGGCTTCATTCTTCACTCTGGGGAGCCGCAGTATCAGAGGCCTGAGTTGAGGAAATGAGCATCCCTTTGTTTTTCTCCCTCTTCCTCTGTGCGACTCTAGCCAAAAAATCTTGCTGGAAGGAAAACTAACGCAATTGAGCCAACTGAGGAAAAGCTGATAGATTCAAACCACCACAACTCAAAAGCAACCCAGACTGACCCATTAGGGCTTTTGATCACAGTTCTCTTACGTTTTATGAATCAACACTGTGGCAATACTTGATTCACTTTGCCTGAGTACAGTCTGCAATGCTGAGGGTCGCCCAAGAATAGCATTGCCACTAAAATGCAAGGGAGTTCACCAGCCAATACTACCACCATCCTACTTCCCAGTGATCTGGCAGGTTTCGGCAAGAAGCTGCACACAAATAAACATGCTACAAGGCAGCATCTCCAAAAACCAATGCGGTGACAGGCCAGTAGAGATGTTCTTTTGCCACCTCCTCAGGGTAGAAACATAGAAACAGAGAGAGTCAGAAGGGGTCTCCCGGGTCATCTAGTCTGAACTCTGGCACCAGCCGGCTCCAGTCACGACATGCCCACCATGTGCACGTCCAGCCTATCCTTGAACACCCTCACCGATGGGGCCTCAACGACCTCTCGTGGAAGCCCATTCCACACCCTCGGGGTCCTGACTGTCAGGAAGTGCTTCCTGGCATCCAAATGGAACCTTGGCTCCCTGAGCTTTGCTCCGCTAGAGCGCGTCCTGCCTTCCTCTGCAGGGGAGAACAGGTCTCTACCCACCTCCATGTGACATCCCCTCACATACCTGTATGGTGCCAACAGATCCCCTCTGAGTCTCCTCTTCTCCAGGCTGGAGAGACCCAGTTCCCTCAGTCTCGCCTCATACGGCATCCCCTGCAAACCGGCCACCAACCTTGTGGCCCCACACTGCACTGACAGTTCAACAGACACACAAAAGCATATTTAAGCATGTGGGTCAATTTGAAATCTAATGGCTGCTATGTGGTATAAAAATGAAGAGAACTTAGCTGTCCCTGCTGAAAGATGAATTTTTGTTAAGGAAAATGCTTACACACACACACACACAACATTATTCTGTTATTTTGGATAAGAACCCTTATTTAGCATCACCCTTCTGTTTCTGGGCTATGCCAAAAAGCAGGTGATGAATGACTTTACAAATAACGCAAGTGGGATACTGGCTTTTAAAAGCTAACTTTTAAATTCAAGGTACAAAAACGGGGTGTATTAGTACGCCAAAGAGGCTGTTCATCCCACATGACACCACACCAGTTTATGCCAGGTTGTGGTCTGTGTGCTTGCCATTTTGAATATGCCACCCCTGCTTGGGGGTGGCTTTGTGCATGTGAACACAGCCAGAGGAGGTTATGCAAGGCTTCAGCAGCCCTTGTGTAACCCACAGCCTGCCAGGAGCTGGCATCCTTGCTTGGGGCGTGTGACTCAGCAAACCCAGCAGGAGCCGGAGATGCGGCTTAGGGCCTGCGGGCCTGCAGGCAAGATGGCTCATGACAGCAGCACAGCATCTGAATCTCTGAGTTCCTTCAATCAGAGTGGAAGCACAAAAGACACAGCAAACAGGCCAGCCAAGCCTTTGCTGTTCCTCCAGTTGCCATACTTGGGGGCCACCAAGGTAGAAAGCAGCAAAGAACTGTAATTATTTAAAGCCACAGTTCAGAAAGATAACTTTTCATGCAACATTTAGGAGTCCCACACACATACACATTCTAGCAAAGTTACACTTCAGGCTCAAATCACTGCATTGCGGCAGGGTAGAGTGGGGGAGCAATTCCTCCACAAAAGTAGGAACTGCTCCTCTTCAGCTCTTTGAGTCCTGTGAAGGGTTGCCTTTGCCAAATGTATAAACAGAATGCTTAAACACAGAGGGTGCTTACTGCTTTATTTAAAGTAAATGCATCATTCTACAAATGGAGCAGTGCCAAAACACCTTTGGGAGGGAGGATATTGATAGAATGAACTTTAGACTTCCCTGAAAAGAGACCCAGTTTGGATGCAGCGCCAGAAAAAGAATGGGTTTATTTAGATGAACTCTGAGGTAGAGAGCAGTTAAGACAAATGAGAGTGAGTGGCATGCTTGAACGATGTTATGTACACCTGCATGCACAATCAGAGTGAGAGTGGTCACCAGAGTAGTGCAGCAGAGGGAAAACATCCCTATTACTCAAGTATCATAGTGATCACTCCTAAAACACTGTTTCTAAATCCCTACCATAACTCAGTTAAGACCCAGGATACTAAGAAAGTCATTGTGGTGTGGTGGTTAGCATGTCAGGCTGAGGACCTGGGAGATCGGGGTTCTAGTTCCCAATCATCCAGGAAGCTCACTGAGAGACTGTGGCCCAGTCACTCACTCTCAGACCTTCCTACCTCACAGGGCTGTTGTGGTGAGGATACAATGGAGCTCTGTCGCCTTGGGTTTCTCACAAGAGGAACACAGGAGGTATATAAATACATTATAACTACAATTAAGCAGAAGTGCTTTCAATTGGTGTTGAGTGCACCCCTTCCTCTCCTCTGCAATACTTTGGTCCATCCTCTCTTTATTATAAACCAGATTTCTTTGAGGTGTTGCGGGAACACCCCACAAATGAAGCTCTGCTTCCTGCCAGACTGCTCTCCCCTTCTCCACATGCTCTCCTCCATGTGCTCCAAAACTAATTTGGTGGAACTTGTTTTCCTCAAACAGACATTTCACACGCTTCTGCAACCCAGAG